CCCCCCCATCACCTCTTCCCTCACCACGTGCAGTAATGGGAGGGTGAATTTAAAGACAATCCTCCAATAACTAAATTCCATATATGGAAATTTATAAATGTTCTGTGTATAGAATCTAATTTTTGGGCAGTTGTCTTACATTCACGGTAATCTTGTATCCAGGAAAACACGGTATAGAATACCATCAAGATTATCAGAAGCAGTAATTCAAACATCCATAATTGTATATTAATGCACAGAATCATGAATATATACAACTGCTGAAAGGAAATGCCACTGAAGTTTCATAGGTTACATTAACATTTCACCAGGGTTAAAAGAAGAATTTTATGTTTGGCCACTTAAAAAAAGAAAAAGCACACAATACACTTCACAGCCTTACTTTGTCTATTTTTAATAGAAGCTAATTCTTCTAATACAGTCTGGTCTGTAGATCTGGCAAAAGCCTCTGCTGTTGCACAGTACCCATGATGAACTAAGTAAGATGAAACCATTCTGAAAAGAAAAGAAAAAAGAATCAACCACTTAACAGAAAACATATCACTTAGAGCATGATATGAGTAAGATACTTTTCAATTTCAAAAACTCTGAACAAATCCCCTGGCTTTTTAAAACTGCTAGTAATAGAAGATATCTAAAATAGAATGGAATTCTCTTTACAATTGACAAGGCAATCTCAAATGTTTGTTTAAAAATATTTTAGCTAGAACATATTGATTCCTTTTTTGAAGAGCTAACGATCCCTTCAGAAGATATTCAGATTTTTATTTTGTGTTTTTTTCAAGCTATTTTTAACATTTTTTAAAATTCCTATAGAAACAGCTGGATTTTTTTTTTTTTTTTAACAAATATCCCAAGTTACAATCAAATACAGTATTATATTTGGATCTCTAAATTGATACATTTTAATTGCTCATTAAATGCATGGACTAATACAAGGGGCTAAATCTTATATTCTTTTTTACTGAACAGATATAAAATGAGGAGGAGTTGTGAGAATTTTTTCAAGTAGTACCAAAGCTGTACCATCATCTGGACTTGGCATGACAAAGACTAAGTGAGGGCTTAGAGAAAACTTCATCTCTACTCAGTACTAAAATTGCCTATTAGAGCCACGGTATTTAAAAACACCAATAGTTGTCCACTGCTAGCCAGCCTGCTAGCCAACTGAGACAGGTCACCAGAGACAAATGACCAGCAACCACAACTGATGTAGGCAGGGATTTGTACCAGTAACCTAGGCCCTGACCCTGCAAACAGGCATGTTTAAATGTACATATACAAGTAGATCCATTTTGTAAGTGGGGGATGCCGATACACATTTTAAAGAATATTTTCTAAATCAAGACCCTACAGAAGAAAAGCCTCTAGAAATTTGACTCATCCACTCCTAGTTTTTTATACATTTTTAGTGTTATAGTATGAATATGGTACAGAAAGTAATGATGACAAGTCCTCCCAATGTGCTTGGTAATTAAAATAATCTGATAAGAATACTTATGGCAAGCGTCTCAATCATGAGGATGGTGCCCACTCAAATACAGTATACAGGTACAATCCAATTCCACATACTGAGACACTTCTGCTCCCAAGTGCTAAGCAGGCCTGGGCCCAGTTACTACCTGGATGGGACACTACCTGGGAATCCCGGGTGCCGTAGGCCGCCTGCCCTCTGGCTCCTACCCTGGTGGTCTTTAAGAAGAGGCTTGATGCCTACCTGGCTGGGGTCATTTGAGCCATTTTCCTCCTGCCTGGCAGGGGGTCGGACTTGAAGATCTACAAGGTCCCTTCCAACCCTACTTCTACGATTCAAGTAATATTATCTTTTTTTAATTAAAATTGGGCTTTTTAGCTTAGAATTATGTCACTTAGTTCCTTACAGCAGGGGTTGGCAACCTTTTGCCAAGGAGCCACTGCTTGTGACCCAGTCTCCACTATGAGTGGCAAATCTCTGCATCCTTCTTCATCCCCAAATCCCAAGCGATCAGCAGATGCTGCGGAAGGAACAGATGGAAAAAGAGAGGGGTTGCACCCTGGGTACACTTTTTCTGCTGCCGATCCCTGAGCTGTCATGGGTCAGATCCAGTCTCTTCACAGGCTCCATCCAGCCTGTGGGCCATAGGTTGCTGATCCCTGGCCTGTGGCACTAAACATCAGCATGTACGTTTTAAAGATGTGGTAAATCAATACTTTTAACACCAAATCAGCACTCATGCCAAAGACCACAAGGGGGTCAATGTGATGTTTCTATAAACACTTGCATGTTGTATCTCAAAAATTAATTTCCAATTTAAATGCAAAACACAATTCTAAGAACTATTCCAAAGTTGAATGCAATTGGGATTTTGTATTTATGTATGCGCATATTTTAAAACTTTAATTTATAAATGAGTATTTCAAGTGCAGTCTTTAAACTTCCTCAAATTCTTACTTCTGAATCATTGTCTGCCATTCTCCTTCCCGATCCCCTATAGGAAATCTGTCGATCTGAGCCTGAATTTTGGTTCTCCATTCTCGCATGTAGTCTTCAATATCGAACACAAATGGATGCTGCCCAAAATTAGCATCTACAACTTCGCCCGGTGTTTGAAGCCCTACTGTAGGGTACAAGTTTGGCTGCAAGAGATTATTTAGAATTAAACACTTTTTCTATTTATTCCAAATTTCTCCACCTCCTTTACTGATTTTCAGCATCCCCCTCCATCACTTACCAGTGGCATAGTAACAATTTCTCAGCTAGCTCTTCCAGTGGTTAAGTAAATTTATGTACCCTATAGCAATTCAACACAATACAAGGTTGCAGCACCACTGGGAGTGAAAATAATCCAAGGCTCAATCTTGGTGATAATTTATCCAGTTAAATGCAGTTAAAGCCTGATAAGCATGACAATTTTTGGCTTTAATTTTATAATGCGACTTTCCAAGCCAAATATTAAATCTTGACACACACGCAACTTTTTTGGTTTTTTTCTGGAAAGTGGCACAATTACATCATACAACAGGAATGTGCACCTAAATCATAGTCCAAAAAGGGTATGTCTACATAGACCTGACAGCCCAACTGGACATACCCCACAACTAATTTTAATCCAACTACAATGGATAATAAGTGAAACTATGGCAGCACATTTTTCAGTGTGACCTGTGCAAGACCCTGTGTATGAACACTGGTTACCAAGCCATGCCAAGGTCTTTGCTGTACATCTTCACTAACTGTGATAATCATTTGTTTTAATCTAGCTAGTATAAATCTGCTTATCTAGCTGTGTAATTCCCTAAACTAAAGCATACCACTATCCAAACTGAAAACCTAGATTAACTAAAAACAGAGAGGATAAGGAAAGGTGAAATAAATATATCATGCTTATATGCATAATGTTGAAGATCTCTTCACACAGAATAATTTAGATAAAATAAAATAATATTCAATTAAAATATGATACAAGCACTTCAGGTATGCTGTCAATGTTAAGCCATTTCCAGTTGGCTAAAATAATCATTACATTTATGTCTTATACCATACGGTGAACCCTACAGGAAGAGAGTTTGAAATAAAAATGTTGCATGTGACTTGTATTGACACCATTTCTTATAAAATACAATCCTTCCTAGAGAAGTTCATAGTTGATTTTACACTCACAAAATTGGTGTTTAAATAGGTCTTCCCTCTGTACACACAACCCATGCCTCTTGTGTATTTACCTTATTTTTAAAAAGTCACTTAATACATTCTTGTTCTAATTACTGATCAAAATTCTCAAGACCGTGCCCTGAAATCAATACTGTAACTAGAACATGGGGGAAATGGTATATTTGCTTTTTTTTTTTTGGTATGAGCATCTGGTCTGTTTCATTGATGCTTATCAACTATATTGAAACTGAACGCTAGAAATATTAGTTATATGCATAAGAATGTTGTAGCATACGTTTCTAAACAAAACAAGCAGTTATTTTATGTTTATAGCAGGTGGAAAATCTGACTTCCTATTTGAAAAAAAATCAACTTATCTTACCGGTAGATCTGTGAAAGCAATACCTGTAATGAACAGAAACACATCAAAAATTAATTCAATCAATTTTTTATTAACACACACACACACACACACACACACACGAAAAAAACATGTTGAACAAGAAGCTTCCTAGAACTTTTCTTCTCATTTACAATTCACTTAATCAGAAATTAAGAATTTTAAAACTGTGGACTTGGATCAAATAAGACTATAATAACTACATTATTTAATAGCTAGAACATTAGATTTTAAGATCTAAGCTTCTCTAACAATTATCTATACAAGTCAGGAGTGCTCAACCTCTGGCCCATGGGATAGATGTGGCCTGCAGGGCCATCGTATCTGGCCTGCAAGCTCCTTTCCCTTGTGGGGCTGTGGTGGGACTCCCAACCCCCTCTACACAGCCAGACGGTAGGTAGCTGGGCTTGCCTGGGTGCTGGATTGGGAATACCAGCTAAATCTGGCCCACAGACAGACTGGGCACTGTCAATCCGGCTTGCTGGGCAAAAGGGTTGGGCACCACTAGTATAAGTAAACAGAAGTCACCAAAGCTGTCTCATAACAGCAAATATAATGTCTGTGAGCAACTAGGTTGTGTAATTGATAAGAGAAGACAAAAAGGTCACTATCTGTCAAAGAGAAAAAGGTAACAGGGAATTATGGCAAACATTTTCAAAAAGGTTAATAGAAGTCATATATAGTATTATTAAGGCCAAACCTTTCAAACTTAATGTGTGTGCAGTTGGATTCTGACCACAGTTTACAGAAGCCTAAGTATAGATTTAAAAGCTTATCTTAAATCAATCAAGTTTGAATACTGTATCTGAATTCCTTGAATTACATGGAGGAATGCAACATAATATTTTCATAAGAGATTTTGTGATCTGCATGTTATAATATTGAGACACTCAAGTTTTACTGCAAAGATTATGGGCAACACATGAAATTACTTTTCTTGTTTGCAAGAATAAAGCAGAAGTAGTAATTCTATGTGAGTGATGTTCTTCTACAAAATTTACGGAAGTATTGCTGAAAATTAACTAGATCCAATTCAAACTATTTTTGTTTTGAAGTATGGTAAATTTATACCAGCCATCTTGATACCTAGTTTTATACCTATGAGCAAGCTGATAACCCAAAGAACCAAAAAGATCATTTTGCAATCAATCTCAAATTTAGAGAAAAATCTGACCTCTATACATTTCCAGAGCGCTAAACACTTTTTAGAGAAAATGTAAATTAAAACACCTCTACAAATAGATTTTGGGAAGTAAAAATCCTTATTTGACAGTTGAGAAGTATTTCATAACTTCCTTCTCCTAAAGTTGAGAGGGTTTTGGTTTTATTTATTTTTTAACTTTTTTCTAGTCAGCGTATGATGATGATGATTCAAGTCCATTTTTTTCTCTTTTAGTCTCCTCTATTTAATACCAGTCATCTAGCATGTTTAATGGCTAAAATAAAGCTTCTGATTTCTCTTCATCTAATTGCACTAACATCCCCATCCTCTGTCACTGAGACACTTGATTTGGGGCCCCTGATTCCTTACTGTCATCCTTCAGCTTAAAGATATGACCAAATTCTGGCAATTCCTCCCATCACATTCAAAATCCATTATTTTGCCTATTACTAACAGTTCATGTCCTAACCTTTTCTTACATACCTTAATTACTGCAACCTGCTAGATTTTTATATTTAACTTCAGTCTTCTCTAATCTGTCCAAAATAATCAAACCCCCCAAATATATTTGTACAGACATTCAGAGACAATCACACTAGCCAAACTTATCAACTTTGTTTTTAAGGCCCACTTTCATGTCTAAGTACCTCTCCACCAATCCTACTCTAGCCAACTTCAGAAATCACAACTCTTATTAGCCATCACACTTTGTCTGAACCTTATTTTGTGCTAACACTTACTACTCAAAAATACTTCTACACCTGCTCACCATGCCACAACCTTTTTTTTTTTTTTCCACTTCACTGCTGATACAGATAAACACACACAAAAAATATATATTTGATCACTAAAGTGTATGTGACTACCTGAATCGCCAGATAATTAATCTGAAGAGTAATACAATTCAAATTAATACCACTTCTTCCTACTGTTCTCATCCACAGTTTCTGTAAAAAGTGGGGTAACAAGACATGGTTCCTAATTTTAAAGTAAAGGTTAAACTGACAAAACTTGAGCTGGTCTTCATTGGTGGGGGCCCACCTTTTTGACAGAAATGCCACAAATTAGGCATCCCAAATCTCACTTCAGTATTCTTCCCTAGCACTGTCTTCCGCTCTTTTTTTGTACTCTGCCCAATCTGTGAGATGCTTTTTACTCTCTGCCTAATCTGATGCTTTTTCCACTCCCTGCCTTATCTGTCATGGAGCTACCTGTCCCCTCCCGGATCTGTTACGTGCCACACGCAGAAGATGCTTTTGCCACCTGCGGCACTCATGCTGTAGATTGGCCACCCCTGGTCTACTTAACTCGTTCATGGCTTTGTTCCACCTCCAAAAGGCTGGAGGTCTAGACTAGAGAAATTCACACTCTTTTCCTGAGCCACTGGATCAAAGGGATGTTTAAGATAAAGCTCCCTTGATTTAAGGAGGCTGATGTAGCAATTCTCCACTAAGAAGCACTAAATTACAAATAATTCTCTGCGTTCCTTTTGGTTGCAAAGCTCAGATTTGCTAAACAGGTTTACAGCAGTATGCAGTATTATTAAAGGAAAAAACTAAGTTTAATACCATAACTGAGGAAAATAATTACCGCTGAAGGCCTCATAAGATTATGTCAAACCTGTTTTAGTAACCATGACTTGGTATACACCTCTGGGGCAGAGGAGCATACATTTAATGTAGTTCTACTAATATGCTTTTCATTTTTTCCTCTAACCTTGCAGTTAAGCTCTAGAGTATTGTTAGCTATGACAGCTATGACTTTTCTCCATACCCAAACTGTGTCCATTTTTCGTGTAGAAGCAGGTATTGTTGATAAGGTTTACACAACAACCAATGACATCACCAGTTGTGAACGTCGGGCCATAGGGTTGTCCCGTTCCAGAGGAACAGAATGAATGTCCATCATCTCCATGGTAACCATACGAATGTTTATCCCAACCTAAAACAAGACATATAAAAGGTTTAAATATACTTGTTTCTACTACAATATAATGGTGGGTGGAAAAAGGTTATTTTTTTCTGTGTACATTTCCAAATCCAGTTTTGAATAAGGTTGATTACTACTGCTTATTTGCATCAGCTTTCTTAATTTCAAAAACCTACCTGCAGTTTGATATACCTCAAAGTGGTGAGGGTTCCTCTGAATGCCATCAAACACACTTTAAAAACCTATTCTTGGAGCCACAGGTCATGGTACCAATCATACCGGCTAAGGAACCAGACTTATCTGTAGAGAAAGTCACTTCTTGCCCCTGAACATCCTTATTTGCTGTTCAGCAACAAGAAGTGCTTTCTCCACACAGCAACCAAGCTTTTAGACTAGAACAGGGCTATCAAAACTTGTTAGGCCCACTAGGTCAGATCTGGACTGCAGGGCTCAAGGCCCAGATCAGACCCAGCTCCAGCAGTGGGGCGACTGGTGACAGCATTAGCCTCCAGAAGCATCTGAGCCTTTCTGCTGGCTCAGGGCATTACGAAAATTAGTGGTGCCACTCCAAAATGAGTCCCTCACTGGGTCCATGCCCTGGAATTTGGTGGTGGGGCAGTTGACAGCAATGTTAACACCATGTAGGAGTGTTGCCTCAAGGAGCAAAGGAAATTAATGCTGCCACTGCTCACCCCATGCCCAAATTTCCAAGGCCTCTACTAGTCACCCCATTCCTGAATTTCCAGGTGCAGATGACATGGCTTGTGGGCTACATTTGGTCTGTGAAGCCACATCTAACACTCCTGGATTAGAGTATTACTAGTCTTTTTATCCCAAAGAACTGAAGATCCAGAAGTTAACCCAGGGGAAGTCAAAACCATTGGGTAATCAAAATATACTCAAATAAGGACCTAATTCTACATTTAGAGAAGCTGCAGCTTCACATAGTTAAACTTTCTTCTTTCTTTTAAAAGGAGATTATTTACTAAACACTCGCAGATTGAGGAGATTATCTGTTTCAATCTACATCCTCATGATACGTTTCAGTACTAATACTTAGGAAAGGAGTGACCTTCAGGCACCATATATGCACCTTAACAGATCTAAATGTCTTGTGAAAGATTGTACAAGGGGTCCTAAACCCAATCCATCCCACCGCTATTTTACATAATTAGAACCCAAACAATATAATTGAAGAACCAGTTAAACTATATGGGAAAAACACTGTCTTCCTTTTATTATTGTAAGAGCTCCCCATTTTGGGATATCAGACCAAAAAACTTTTAAATGAGGAAGAGAACTAAGGATTGTTTCCCCTCTGTTTTCAGGTATTTTAAAATTATTACCATACTAAACATCATATTTAAGAACACCGAGTACTAGCTCTATCACAGCTAGATACACCAAAGAACTGTTGTGTAAACAGATGAACTGAACTCCAGGAAACAGATTTAAAGACTACTTACAGTACAGTGAAATATGTTCTAAAGACTTCATTTACTATTATACATGTTCAGTTTTGTATATCTTTATAAATGGATAGGACCTTAAAGATAAAAGCAAAGATAAGCCTTCTGTCAAATAACCTCCTGATGTCATATTCCATAAGACTTGCACATGCATTTAATTTCACTTGAGTAAAGGGCTCATTTTATTAATGAATATGCATTCTGGCTTCTCTTACCTCATGAGATCTAGGGAA